TGTGTGTGTGTGTGTGTGTGTGTGTGTGTGTGTGTGTGTGTGTGTGTGTCAGTGTCATGGCGGGTTCTCTTTGTGCCCATATTTTTTTCTGCTGCTGGATGTCTGACTGCATTATGTTTTGTATTGTCTGGTGATAATGTGAACAGATGCAGCGTAACGACGGTGAGGAGAATACAGCAGAGGGGGTGCAGCAGTATGCCTCCTGTCTTTGGTTTAAGGGATCGTTAGGATTTTATCCATACTAGTTCTCTTATCGATACAGCTCATCCATACTCCTATCGGTTCTTTTTGATCATTTTGTGACAATTAATAACAAATCGGTTTATTCATATGTAAACAGTCATTCTTGAGCAGCAAGGTTTAAATAAGTCAATATTGTAGACTATACCATTTCAATGCCAACAACAAATGTAAGTAAATCAACAAATATATAAAATAAACACTATTCTTTGCAGCAAAGGGCTAAATAAAGTTCAACCACACAGCTGCACCCCTTATTAATAACTATGTATTAAACAATTCAGTATATACTGACAGACGTATTGGTTACCTAAATCCCTTTGACTCCACTGTACAGAAGAGGTGCAGATCTGACACTCGTCTACTCTCTCCTGTGTCTTCTCTGTAGCTGCTAGCGTGGGACTGGCGCTGGTAGAGAGGGGGGGCGTGCTGGGTCATGGCTGCAGCCTAAATGTTGTGATAAATTGCTGCTATTACCCGTCTTACCTGTGAGGGTCACAGCGATCTTCTGGTTTCTCTGTAAGAGAGCATCAGTATTTGTTGCTTTTTTTTTCTGACGTCACAGGAAAGGGGTTTGTTATTTGCAAGAATATTTACAAATCTGTACACGCAACAACAATCCCTCTCAATCGTCACTTCTGACCCACTAGAAGCGTGTGTCTGTATCAGTCTTTTCTTCTTATTTTGCTGTGTTCTGGACTCTTCTGGGTGTCAGCGACGAGCATTTGGAGCCCACGTGGGGGTGTAACCTCCAGTTAATAAGCAGGGTGTGCATCCCATTGTCATTACTATGTCGAGCACCGCCGATTTGTCCCGCCCCTGTGCTCACCGAGGCTCTACGCATGTGGCCCTCTCTTGCATATGGTAACGCACGGGTTGTTGCATCGCTGCGTGTTTTCATGTGCTTCTGTCTGTATTTGTTTCCTCTAGGGATGCACCGATACCACCTTTTTTTTTTTTTCAGTCCTTACATTTGAGTACTTCAGATTCAGAGTACCCATATGAGTACTTACAAATACCATTAGACGTATGACTTTGAAAAGGGGCACAAAACTGTAGACAAGAGCACTACGTTCTTCATAGATCTAGCATCTTAATGTTGTTCTCAAAGTGCACCACATCGATTCATTTTACTTTAAAATATACAACAATTTCTTCGCCCCCGTGGAGGGTCTGAGGTTCACCCACCATACAAAATGTGATAGCTAGCCTGTATGCGCTAAGCTAGCTATCGCTTTATCTTCTGCTGACAGATTCTGGCTCACAGTGATATTATGGTTTCACTTGGGCTTCTGTTCCTGGCTAGCTCAGGTGTGTGTGTGTGTGTGTGTGTGTGTGTGTGTGTGTGTGTGTGTGTGTGAGAGACACAGATACTGAGTCTGCAAAAGGATGGACCAAAGGAGGGGTGAACATTTTGTACAGCTGGAATGATTCTATAAATTAAAAGGTAACATTTTAATCATCGCGATGGATATCGATTGAAGAAATAGATCACATTGTTTTGATCTGCAACTTGTGGCTTTTGGATAATTTTGCTAATGTCCGAACTCTGTGATAACAAACACACTACACTCCCAAGGTTTTACAATTCAGCGCTGAGAATTGTGATTGAATGTGATAATTACACCTATTACACTGTGGCAAACTGTGAGAGGGGAAGTCAATAGAAGGGCAGAAAGAAAAGAAAAGAAAGTGAGGTGTGGTCTCAGTGAGGGCAGCTGCTGGTGCAGCCTCCAGCCAGACTAGGCTGAAATATGAGACTTGCCCAACCTCAGAGCCGGGCGGAGGGAGGAATGAGAGAATGTCCACCGTGGAGAAAGAAGAAGAGAAAATCTGCTGGTTCGGGGCAGAGCATGCACACAGGAAAGTGAGGGGCAGACAGAGGAAGAGGCACTGACATGACAGATCAAATGTAGCGGGGCAAATAAAAACGAGTACGAATGGAGTCGTGGTCTGTGTGAAGGAAATAGGTTGTGGAGAAGAAAGGGGTTGTGTGTTTGGTTGGAGCTGCCGAGAGAGAAAGGGGAAGGCTGTGAGTGAGCATGCTCTGATTGGACTAAACGTTGGATGCTGGCTTGGCTTCTCTCTCCGTCTTTGCACAGAAACACACCCAGCAGCAGTGACACCTACCGCACTCCAGGGGACAGACAGAACATGGCTTGAATAAAAGAAAAAAGTCAGAGGGAGAGTTACTTTGTTTGGGACTTTCCCTCCTTTTTCTTCTCTCATGAGCTACAGCCCTCTCTTCTTCCACCGGAGAGAGAGAGCAGGGCTTTGTTTTCCAAATCGGCAAAGGATTGTTCTTCCAGCAACTCTTTTACACCCTATAATGTTTTCATAGAAACCAGACCCCTTCTTTTGCCATGGGAATTGTGCTTCAGTGCTTTAAACAGTGACTTTTGGAAGAGGATGTACCATTCTGAAGCAGCATTGGCGCAGCGCCAAACGGACCCCGACGATCCGGCACTGGGAAAACCAATGCTGGAACTTTTGTAAAAAAGGGTCGTTGTCTGGTGTTGGAGACGATCTACAGTGACTTGGCTAAACCCCATCTGATGTTGTCTTTAGTCCCTAGTGGCTGATTGGGAGTGGCAGGTTGAACACACGCTGACCTGCTTGGTGTTCCTTCTTATTGTGGCATTCAGTTCGGCCTGATCGGCAGGTCAGACATAGACACTGCTGCTGTGGTGTCCTCCTCCCATTATTTTTTTTTTTTTTCAGGGTATCAAGCATCTCGGCTTATCCTTGTCCGGACACGGCCCTCGTTCCCTGGACCCTCATGAGCTTATGCTTCCTAAATGCGGGAGCGGGGGGGAGAAATGTGATCGTCTGTTTTGTGGTGTGCTCTGGGCAGCTGCAACAGTGCGGTTTCCATGGAAAAGGCCAGAGAAATATGGCGACGAGGGGCTGCGTGAGCGCTCTACCTCTATGTCTCTGGTCCAAGTGAAACCCAAGCCAGCCAGCGTATCACTGCAAGCTCCGCCCTGGAATTCCTGGTTCAGACTCTTCTCATGTGTCTCCACAAGGAGCGTGCACGGGACTAAAGGTGAACGGGCTTTTAAAAGGACAATGCACATGAGCTCACTTACTTCTGGGGAAAATATTGACCCCCTTTCTCCTTGATGCATTGTGTACAGCTGTCCTTGTAGCTTCTGCTAAGGTGGTTTGTAAAATGCCTTTAAAGTCCCGCGCTCAGTCCAGCTGCAGCTCTCTGTGTCCGGTGATACATTGATACTTTGTGTAAAACAAGAGTGTGCGTGTGTTGTGACAGAATACGTGTTGAATAGCTTGTCCGGGTACAGAAGAAGCTTTAAGCACGCGTGTGAATTGTGAATTGTAGAAGTCAGTGTATGAACACTGTAGTGTGTGTGTGTGTGTAGTGTGTGTGTGTGTGTGTGTGTGTGTGTGTGTGTGTGTGTGTGTGTGTGTGTGTGTGTGTGAGACTGAGGAAAGAGGGGGCTGTGAGTTGAGAACAAAGAATGTCATGTTTGTGTTGAAGCCCGGCTTGTTCTGTGCTCATCTGTCTGCGGTCTCTTTCTCCTGTCTTTACTGCAGCCTTCTCTTCTATCTGTTTGCTACCTTTCCTTCCTCGCTACTTGTTTCTTTCTTTTCAGTTCTTTTCTCACTTTTTTTGGCTTCGCTGTAGAATTGGAATCTCAGGATTCTGAACATTTGCCTCTTGTCAAAAAAGTCCTGTGTTTGTAGTGCTGAAGGTGTTTGTATGTGCCGTGTTTTCCTAGCGTGTGAATGTGTTTTTTTGTCTTATGTCCAGTTGGCGCTTGCTGCAGGTTAACTTGGGTACTTTAAACTTTAAAGCATTTTGAATTTGTGCTTTGTTTAGATGGACCATAAACTCTCCCTGGAGATCTGTTTCTGCTGTGAAAACCACCGCTACTTTGTGACAATAACTACTTTTGTTAGTCAACATATTGCCCCAGAAATAATTGTGATAAACTATATTATTGTCGTTGTCAACAAAACAAAAAAGTGCAAAGTAATATCATATTAGCAATAAGTTAAAGGAGGGGCACAGAAGCAGCTTGAACAGAAAATACGTTTGAGTTGACTTCTTTTCTGTTCATTAGGTGAGGCACTGAAAACAACTCTTAGCGCTGCGCCCTATTGTTATAATGGAGGGAAGCCCTGCTCTTTATTCTGGCGTCATGTTGACATTCTTCTTTAAACAAACATGCACGTTAACACGACGGACGCTAAGTTGATAATGCGATGATCCCGGCGAGCTTAAATGGGATTCTTGTTGGTGCTCGATAAACACAAATGTAAATGGATCAAAACCGATGTCACTTTCCCTCCATGACAGATGTTTGTAAGGTGTGCCGTTCTATATTACAACGACAACAGTGGCTACGTTTGCATGCACTCGATCATCCAATTCTCCAACTACAATGTGAATGTGTGTGTTTCCAGACATGGCGTGCGCATGTAAACCCACAGACAGGTTTTTACTCTCTGGAGTCTTTCATCCTGTTGGAAGTGGACGTAAAGAGATCCTTTCCTAATGTGCTTTCAATGTAAGCCGAGGGGTCAAAATCGCAAAAATTTATTCAAAAGTTGATCTGAAGCTCCTCTAAATGATGTAAATCAAGTGCATGTCTTTCAAAGTTAAAGACATTTAAGTGCGCGTTACCCTCTGGGGCAGCATTTCTTCGTTGAGCTGAAGTGGAGAGATGGTAACCAAAGAAATAGTAAATTTTGTAACGTTGGGAGATATTAATCTGACTCTGCAGAAGCTTATTTACTTTAGATATAAATGTTTGGATACATTATTTCACAGAAAGAGGACTACTTATAGACGTCGTTGATGACAAGATTAGTGGAAGATTCTAACGAGCCGCTCGGCTGCAACAATAACCATTGCACTAACAGGGCGAATCCGTCATTCATCACCACATGCAGTGTTTGAGGGCGAAACACAGCAGCTGGGTCTCCAGTTCACCGGCCTGGGAGAGTTAGCCGCTACGGTGTTGCGTGCATTGCCGTGGACACATGCAGCCACTTTCCCAGTTAGTCTCCACTGCAACCGTTAGTTTAGCAGCAAGGTTCTCAGCTGTGCGCCTGCCGTTCTGTTTGTATTGGCTTCAGTGTGTATATATACGGCTTATTGTAAAGGTGTTTCCCCTTGAAAAACATTCCCTTTTCTTTATAGAGCGGCTTTGAACCACAGGGAAGTTTTTGTAGCCTTGAGAGTGTTGATAAGAGATGGAAGAGGAGAGAAGCTGTGCTGTGCCGTCCCACTGCAACATCTTTGGCATGTGTGGCGCAGAAAGCAGCGAAGAGTCTTCGTTGGAGTTTGATTGAGCGAGCAAAAAAGTTGCTGAAATGGAAAGTCTGCATATCTTTCCATGTTGATGCATTCTCATGATGTAAAATAAGTGTGCCAACAAAGTGTGTAATGGGCTCCACCTTACTTTTATCGCTGGTCAGTCGCGTCTCGTTCTCCGTTTTTCCAGCAACAAACTGACTTCTGAACACGTGCAGGTACACGCTGTTTAGGATCTATACTTTGTCTGCTGGGTCGGCTTGATGTGTTGCGAGTGGAGAACAGAAACTGGCGGTCTGTTGATGGGGGACACACTATCGACATGATTGAATTAGTTTTCATGTCCGAAACCTTGTAACAATGAGAATTTAGAGTCTGGATATTATTGCATCATGATTGTGTTTAACACTTGAGAAGTGATCTCTTATCCCAATACAGGTGTTTCACGGCTCTGTAACAGCTGTTGAAGCAGTTTTTTTTCACATAAAGTAATAACTGTTCATTTATTTGAGTGGAGAACGGCTTCTCTGCAGCCGGTATACTATGGATTCAGTGGCTGCGGGAGCGGTGACGGGCGTCTAAAACATTGCAAATCACCACTGCGTATTTGAAGTGGCTATTTGAACGACAGACATGGAATATACCGAGGTCAGGATGACATCTTCTCTGGCTAATGGTTAGCTGTGCGGCCAGAAGTTCTGAAAAAGCGTATTGTCCAACCGCGAACCAACTGTTCCGTCACTTTTTGAAAGTGATGCATCAGCATAACACGATCCTGACACAGTAATTAGGAGCCACAAAATGTAACGTATGGATGTAGCTCTGTCTGCTTTATGAAATGACGTTGCTGGGAAACCGGTGTAGAGCCAACAGACGGCACAGCGGGGCGATTTTAGAAGTCTAGCCTAATGTACATTGCATTAGCGGAGCAGTAAGTGGCCTAAATGCCTTTTGAATGAGCTCAGTGTATGAAAGTGCACATGATGGTCTCCTCTAGCCGAGGTGAGCTACCATGAACATCAGACTGTCATCGTGTCAATCACATCTCTTTCCGATGTGAACTAATCCCTCTGTGGTAAACTCGCTGTCTGTTACTTCATGTTTATTCTAGGCTTACTGTTGTGCTGTTGTTTTTTATTTGGTATGATTCCCAGCCAGTATTTACTAGCTTTGAACTCATGTTTGTTTCCCCTCTTATGTTTCTTCTTCTCTCTCTTTTCAGAGGTCCCCACATTTCAAGAGAAGACGAAAGCCTTATTTGGAAATCTTATGGACGAAGGTTGGTATTTTTTTTCTCTCCCTGTTGGTGTACAGCTGTGTTTGATGACAATGCTTCCAGCAGCCTTTTCTGTTGACAAACTTCCCAGTTCCTTCTATTCGTGCGGCACCATTTACTCGCCCCCCCCCC